ACTCCTCCGATAGCGTAGCGTGGGAGAGCGACGGGGTTTGTCCAAGTCTCGGTAGCTTCTCCGGCGATGATCAGGTGATGGCACTCTTTCCAACTGGAGAAGAGATGGCCTGGGTCAGTGATGAGCACAGGCTGATAGAGAGCCAACTAGGAACATGGCTTGTACCCTCCTCCCCATCCCATCCCAAATTCCACCTCCAATTGACTTTAAAACACAGTAATTTGAATATATATGGGATAACACTAAGGACAAAAAAACCCACTACCAAATAAAAAAATTAAAATCTTTCTAATAATCCCGTTACTGTTCTAGTGCTGGTACCATTATTCTGGAGCTATGTAAGAGTAATGACAGGTAAGTATGCTTATTTCCTAAGAAGTTGGATTTCTAATGTGAAAGAGAGATGTAAAACTGATGAGGTTAAATGCAGTGTATTTTAAGCTTAAAATTTCTTTTTCCTTTAGCTTTATCAACTGTAAAGTCCTAGAAATACCATGTAGCAATGAGCCCAGATTGTGGTCTCTAAATAACATATCTCAATTAATGGAACTAAGACCTTCTTGGAAAAATGGCTACTTTTAGGTCCAGGAGAGAATATAACAAGACATACCTAGAACATGTCATTGTATCAGATAGCAAGGGGCTGAAACTACTAGGATTGTATCCAAAAGTGAAGTTAATGGGCCCCCACCGGCCAGACATAGGACAATTTCAGCATCAACAAGGACAACAATGGTCCAGAACAACAAATATACTTAAATTGATAAATTCAAATGTTACCAAGGGCATACCTTCTTAGGAGAATACTATAAAATCAACTCATGATTTTAAAAACTGACAAAGGGAAATAAATAATTTATCCTGCTTTTCTTATATAAACTTTATAAAAATCAATGTTGATTTGGGAGGTTTTTTAAAAATATCATTTTACAATCCTTAATGGGTCTATGCAGAGATCATCAGTGGATCCTAATATTATAAAAAGAGAGCAGACTGTTCATCCTGGAGGAAGTACACTATATCTATGAAGTAGTGTTTCTCTACTCCAAAAACCCCAAATCCAATTAAAGACTCAAGAACTAGTTAACAGAAAATAAAATAGACAAATGAACACGTTAAGTGATACCACAGGGACACAATCACAAAAACAGAGATTATGAAAATTTGTAAGAATGTTATGACCTGACATTTTAATATTAAGGAACCACTGACTTAAGGGCTGATGATAGTATATGGCTGTGCCTTAAAAAGGGGTCTGTGTTTTTTTTTCTGAAATATGATATATGAGATGGCTGTGATCTGCTTTGAGATAACTGGTGAAGGAGACTGAGTAGATATGGAGGAAACAAAATAGCTGAGCTGATCACTGTTGAAGCTAGGTGATGGGTAAATGGAGGTTTATTCTCTCCATTTTGGTATGTGATTAAATTTTCCATTAAAAAGAATGCATATTTTTGGTTCACTCACCACAGAAAAGCCCCTCAGCCGTGCCTGGCTTTCCATTCATGAATGACTGTGCTTCCCTTAGCACTTATCTTAAATGGAGTCTACTAAGCTCAGAGCTACCCTTTCATCTGCACTACCTCAGTATCTACAGGCCAGATGTCTTATATTTCCCCCTAGCTTTTTTACACATATAATTTTAATCACAAATGTTTTAAATCTTTAAAATAAAAACAAAAAGACACAAAGCTTACTGTAATCGTTTCCACATTATCACATACATTTTTTTTCTGGCTGCACCAAGTGGCATGCAGGATCTTAGTTCTCCATGCCACCCTGCCCCACAGCAGATGCATGGAGTCTTACCCACTGGACCTCCAAGGAAGTTCACTGTTACTTTTCATGATACTTCTAATGGTGGCCTAATACTCTGTTGAATTGTTAGCAATAGTTTACCTGACTGCTCCCTGACAATTTGCTGTTTTCAAGTTTTTAGCATTTTAACAAATAGTGGAAGAACATGACTATGCAGTAGGTTTTTATTTCCCTAAACTAGGTTTACTTCTTAGTATGCATTCATTTATGATCAGTATTATTTCTGTCCCACGTATTTAATAGCTACCACTTATTATGAAATTATAATGTCCCAAAGCTAAGGGCTTTATGTATGTAATTTCATTTAATACTCATAAAAGTCCTAAAATAAAGGTATCATAATCTTTGCTTTATAGAAAAGAAAATGGAGATTATGTAATTTACATAACATAATGCCAGTAGTAAACAGGAGAGCTGAGATACGGATCAAGTCCATTTAACTCTAGGACCCACACTCTCAATGATGAAATACTGTATTCTGGGGTTTTTCTTTTTTGGTTAAAATTAAATAAAGTTTGAAAACAAAACAAAAAAGACATTCCCATTCCCTGTAATTCGCCCTCCTGCAACCCTTCAGCTCCCAGGTGCCTCACCTTCTCATCCTCCTCTTCCTCCTCTTCACTGGACTCCACGTCGTCCATGTCTTCCTCCAGAGCGCTAACCCGCGGCTCCAGCTGCTCGGCTTCCTCCAGCACATAGCGTTTCTGTAGCCGGGGCAGAATAATATCACAGACTCTCTCACTGTGCAGTAGTTCATCAATAAATTCATCTACATGCATCAGCTCAAACTCTCCATTTCGGTTCTGGCTCTTGATTTTTCGATAGTCATTGTACAGAGGCTCCAAGTACTTGTAGCAATCAATTGCAGTACCTGTCAACCTCATGTAAAGTGCTCCCAGCATGCGGACATACTTGAAATTTTTTTTTTTTTTTTTTTAATAAACTCTACAATGATATCCTTCTCAGGTTGAATCTGAAGCATCTTCAAGGTTAAACACAAAAAAGGAGTGGGCTTTATGTTACCACCGTAGACACCACCCACAAATCTTAACTCCATGGCTTTATCAACTACAAGTTCAGCTAAAAAACAAAAACAGAGAGGCATTGCAGACATATTAGGACTAAGTTTTTACAGGTTTAAAGTGCAGAGAGTTAAAGTTAGTTCAAGATTTGGTGTTCCTGAATTAACAGCTTAATATTAGGAGAACAAGTGTTTAATAAATAACAGCAGCCAATATACACTGAAAGATTACTATATGCCAAGTACTCTGCTAAGCATTTCATATTATCTTATTTAATCTTCACAAGTCATGAGGTTAAGTTCTAGCACTGCCCTTGTTTTCAGCTAAGGAAAATGAGGGCCAAGAAACGCTAAGTGATTTGCTCAATATTCACAGCCAGAAAGTGGCAGGGCCTGGGTTTTCGTCCAACAAGTCTAACTTCAGAGTCTGTGCTTGTCACCATCACGTTAGGAGAAAAACTGCCAGATTAAATAAGAGTTAGAAGGACGAAAACCATAACAAACCTCAATAACTACATAACTCTAAGTAAAGTTCATCTAGACAACAGGGATAATAACCTTTCAATGTTGTCATCAAAATCAGACCAGTTTCGTGAACTAGAGCAAGTCATTTCACCTCTGGAATGAGAAAAGGCCCCCAAAGTAAATCTTACATGACTCTAAATTTAACGGCAACTCAGAAAAACAATATGACTCCTCCGTGGACACACAGCTAGGGTGATGGCAGAGCAGTAACAGCCCAGGAGTAATTAACAGTGGTAACAATCAGCACCACTACCACCACTGAGTACTGAGTACTTTTATTAATATATAGCTGTAGCTAAATATATATAGCATCACCGACTCAATGGACATGAATTTGAGCAAACTCAAGCAGACAGTGGAGGAGAGAGGAGCCCAGGAGGCTACGGCCCACGGGGTCACAAGAGTCTGACACTACCTAGCGACTGGACAAGCTGTAACTATACCAAACACTTCTTATACATTATTTCATTTAATCCTTAGATTTCTTGGATTAAATCATTTAATCCTTTGACCTCTGATGTGGGTATTATTGTGCTCGTTTTACAGAAGATGAACTCACAGTTCACTAGGGAAACACAGGTACCAAAAAAAAAAAAAAAAAGCCAGAATTAAACAAGTATCAAAGACGACCTGGAAGATTTCTCTTAAGAACATATTTATATTAGGACTGGGATGTGAAAATATTGCAAATGGTCCAGATTTGGGGGTAGTAACATTGTAAATTTGGTTTCGGGAATACTGACGCTCCTTTAAGACCTTCAGGGTTCCCATGTTTAACACTGGAACCCAGTAAGTTATCATTAAACACGGAATGCCTCAAAGAAACCACCTGTACCCTTCCGAATAAGGTCCTATCAGATCTGTGTTCCCAAAGCCCAACACAACACTAGGCACAGAGTAGGCGCTCAGATTCTTCTGAATGACTGAAAAATTCCCCCTAAATCTCACCGCCAGTGGGCCAGTCCCATTGGAATGGAAAACTGGGCCATGGGACGACAGGGGTTAGGGCAGGGATGGGGGGTGTTCAGCACGCTCTGCTCACCTGTAAGTCCAAAGCACTCCTCTTTCCAGTATTTGGACTCGTAAATTCGCGTCCGAATGATTTTCTCCACCAGATACTGAGGGTTGGTGCCGTGGATGCTGTGCGCATCTTTTACCGTACGGTTCGCCATTTTAGAACGTCTGACGTCCTATTTCCGTCGGGTCCTTTAAGACGTCACATCCTGGTTAAAAAACCAGAGAGAAATGATAAGGTTGGAGGAAGTCTCACTAAACGGTTCGCGCGTCCATCTTGAACCCGGAAATGTTTTCGAGTTAGGAACTTTCTTCGACAAACGGCTTCGCAGACCTAATCAATGATGGCCGCGGCACGTTGGCGGATGTACGTCGTGCGTCCCCTCCTTAGATGGGCGGGGCGAAAGGGCTGGCTGCTGACGGAACGTGGAGACACCCTGGGGGGCGGGGCTACGGCGTTTGGCGCGAAATTTCCTTTTCTCCACCTTCTTTCCATTCCTAACTAGGCTTCCGTTTCGGCGTTGGTGCGCGGCTGGCAGCTCTAAGAGGAGTTCCCCTGGGGCAGGTAGATTTGCTGCAGCTCCACGAGCTCCTGAAGCGGGGACGCTGGAGAGCGGAGGGCTTGCACCCAGCTCCAACAAGCTTTGGCGCCCGGTGAGTGTGGCGTCCCGGGCTGGAGAGGGACCTGAGCCGCGGGACTGTGGAATATGTTCTCTGCGGACTCATTGAGCCATAAATCCATTCAGCAGATGTGTACTAAACGCCTGTTAAATGACAGGCACTGTTCTAAGCGCATTAGGAAAGTCTTACTTTCCACATGGCGATTTCTAACAGCTTTCTGCCTCTGCCGGGGATTGCGATTTTGCAGTGCGAAACCGGAAGCCAACAGCGGAGAAGCGTGAATACTCCTGTCCTCAGCTCCTTGAGACTCTCAGTAGTGACCTGAGTCGTATGAACCTTATATCCACATGGCCTGTGGGAAGCAATCGCATCTTTCTTCCTTTCAGGGTAGTGTAACAAGCACCAAAGGGAAGCGGAGCAGCAGAAGTTATTACTCGATATGGATGTCGCTATTGCTCCCAGAGGGAAAAAGAGACTAGTCTTAAGTCCCTTTTCGTGACTAAGGGGCCTGAGCTCCTACTCTGATCTTTTTTTCCCCCTAGACGAGCTGCTCTTAACTGCAGTGGCACCTCTTTTACTTTCTCTAGTCTAACCCCGAAATAGAAGGGCCTTCTCTTCTGGCAATTGGAAAAAGCACTGGATTTAGAGAAATGAGATGTAAGATTCTTATCTTGGGCTATCTGCCAAATTGCAATGATTAGATATGGTAGTTTTCTATTTTGAAGTGAAGTGAAGTTGCTCAGTCGTGTCCGACTCTTTTCGACCTCATGGACTGTGGCCTACCAGGCTTCTCCCATGGGATTTTCCAGGCAAGAGTACTGGAGTGGGTTGCCATTTCCTTCTCCAGGGAATCGGCGATCTTCCCCTCCGAGGGATCGAACCCGGGTCTCCCGCATTGTAGGCAGCCGCTTTACCGTCTGAGCCACCAGGGTGTCTGTAAAAGTGGTACCCTCTTCCCTGCTGTTTTGGGTCCATGTGAATGCCATTGAAGGTTTCTGTTGTGAAATCATGTTTATCAAGTCGCTTTGCAAAGTTTTTAATGTAACAGAGGGCAATATGCAACTTTAGAAGGTTTCTGAGTTCCTTGAAATTGAAAGCAGAAGTTTGTGTGAATTGTGTTTCATAACATTCATCAAAGTATTAAAAAACAAAAACAAAAAAAGCCACTGTTCCTTATAAATAAATGCAAGAAGTTAAGGGAGTGGGGAAGGACTTTCCTGGCAGTCCAGTGGGTAAGACTCTGTGCTTCTACTGCACGGAGCACAGATTCGATCCGTGGTTGGTGAACTAAGATCCTGCATGCTGCGGCCAAAAATAAATAATTTTTTTTTCTTTTTTTTTTTTTTCCGTTTATTTTTATTAGTTGGAGGCTAATTACTTTACATCATTGCAGTGGTTTTTGTCATACATTGAAATGAATTAGCCATGGATTTACATGTATTCTCATTAGAACTGATTCAAATGAATTCTTTTTAATGGCTGAGTAATATTCCATGGTGTATATGTACCACAGCTTCCTCATCCATTTGTCTGCTGATGGGCATCTAGGTTGCTTCCATGTCCTGGCTATTATAAACAGTGCTGCGATAATAATTTTTTTTTTAAAAAAAGAGAGTGGGGAAATAAATTGACCGTTTTGCATTTCTCACTTCATCCTCAGTGATCGTAGAATAATGCCCCCAGCACAGAATGGATGATTAATAAGTAAATATTGGTTGAATAAAAGCAAGTTTCTATTGTTACTTGCATTTTATGGGTAAGGAAATTGAGACCCATTTGACCTCTCAGTCAGCAGGTAAGAAGCCTGGCTTATTGTAATAAGCATACCAGAAGCAAACTCTTGTGTGCCTGTATTTTCAGTCGTGTGTGACTCTTTGTGACCCTATAGACTGGCCCGCCTGGCTCCTCTGTCCTGGGATTCTCCAGGCAAGATTACTGGAGTGGTTTGCTATTGCCTCCTCCCCTTAGACATGTATTAACATTACTCACTTTCACACAAGGTGTTCTAAGGTGAAGCGCTTAAGAGCACTGTCAGTGGAATCCAGCTGCTCAAGGTTTGAATTAAGGCTGTGCCATTCTGTGTAACTTTGGGACAACTTACTATCTTGAAGTGCTAGAGTTTTGGTTCTACCCTCTGTCTTGGTGGATCAAAAAATATATGCTATCATTATTTTTAGGGCTTCCCTGTGGCTTAGTGGTAAAGAATCCAGAGACATGGGTTCTATCCCTGGGTCAGGAAGATCCCTGGAGGAGGAAATAGCAACCCATTCCAGTATTCTTGCTGAGAAAATCCCATGGACAGAGGAGCCCGGTGGACTATAGTTCATAGGGTTGCAAAGAGTTGGATGTAACTGAGCATAGACATTATTTTTTTTTTTTTTCCTGCAGCTCTCCTATCTGTTTTTCTTGGGTGTGGCTCCTGAACTGGTCAGTGTGTATGTTCAAGATTTCTGGTATCTTCGACATTGAGAGCCTGTAATGCGTATCTCCTAGAAGCCAAAGTCTTTGCTGGGCCAAATCTGGCCTGCCTTTCCACTCTGTTCATCACTCCTGTTGGGAAACCTCTTTGCTGATGATGAGATGCAATGCTGGGTCAAGGGTAGGAAAGTGCTGCCTCTTCAGAAGGACTCCTGATTAATTTTTTGAACTTTTCATGGAAAAATAACCTACATATAGAAAATTCACATCATAAGCGTACAGCGCAGTGAGTTGTTTTGAAGAAAACATACCTGTGTAACCTACATCCTAGAAGCACCCCATTCCCTCACTGTGCTTCCTTTCAGTCACTGAGGTTTCCTTTTAGTCTGACTTCTAGCACCATAGGTTACTTTTACCTGCTTTTGAGCTTTGTATAGATGGAATCAATATAGCATGTATTCTTCTGGTGTCTGATTCCTTTAGCGCATTGTTAATTTTGTAAGATTTTCCTCATGTGTGCAGTCATGGTTGGTTTAATTTCACTGTTTTATAGTGCTACAACCATTCTGGTTCGTGCCTTTTGATGATTTGTTTGTTTTCCTGTTGGATATATATCGTTGGAACTACTGGATCATAAGATATGCACATGTTCAGTTTTAGTAGATACTGTCAATTTTCCACTTTCTAATTTATACGCTCTCCATCAGTGTATGAGAGTTATGGCCACTCTACATCCTTATCGCACTTGGTATTGTCTTAATGATTTTTAAAAACCTGTTCATTCGTTCATTCATTTGTTCACCTATTATGTGTGAAGTCTTAACCTAGGCCCTGGGGATGCAGTTATGAACAGACAAACAAGGTCCCAAGATGCCTGCTCGTTTGGAAGTTAACATTCTGATGTAGAACGTACAAAAAATGCGAAAGTGATATAATGGTGATTGCTTTGATAATAGAGTGGTGCAGTAGAATGTGACCCTGAAGTGCAGTATAAAGGGGTGGGGAGTAACTTTCCATTGAGCATTAGTGAAGGCCTATCTGAGGAAGTTTTACTGGCACTGAGATCTGAGTCATCACTGCAAAGATATGCAAGAAGAGAGAACAGCAACTGTATAAGTCTGAGGGGACTAACAACCTTGGTCTGTTTGAGATTTAGAAAAGGTGTCCTGGAACGCAGGGATAGACCAACATGGGGCAGGTTATGTAATCCAGGCCCAGAGAGCCTTCTGATACTCCTGCCTTCTCAGCCTTTGGTAAATCATCCACCCTTGCATACAGATATGCTTATACTGGTCTCAGTGTATAGAGCTCATGATCTAGAAAAGGAGTGTTAAATTTTATCTTGGTTTAGTTTTTGAACTAGGATGCTTGCTTTAGTAAGCTAAAATATGGTCTCTATTTAAAATCATTGAAAGCATGGATCTGGTGCCCTTAGATACACATGAATACCTGAGAAGTATGGAGATAGTCCCTCTGTATGCCAGTTTTTGGTTTGAAAAAATGAGATCCTTGTGCCACTGTAACCAAATATCATAGATAATGTGACAAATCAGGGCATCTATTCTTCAGTTAGATTATTCAAGAACTGTAGAAAATGTGTTGCATGAAAGTGAAAGTCACTCAGTCATGTCTGCCTCTTTGCGACCCCATGGACCCCAGGGACTCTGTGACTCCATAGTCCATGGAATTCTCTAGGCTAGAATACTGGAGTGGGTAGCCATTCCCTTCTCCAGGGGATCTTCCCAACCCAGGCATTGAACCCAGGTCTCCCACATGGCAGGTGAATTCTTTACCATCTGAGCCACCAGGGAAGAATATGTGTTGGGAGATTCTAATTTGCTATAATACCAGTCTCAGTGATATTTCGTTTTTTTCAAAAATGATGGAACTTATTTACTTGGATCTTTTGTCTGTACCTCAGTAGCCTATTTTGCCTGATTTCACTGTAGAAAGGTGAAAAGGTGAAACCTGTAATAGTTCCATGTTACATTTTCCATTAAAAGGAACATATATTGAAAGGAAGTTGGAGCTCATATATTCCCTTGGACATTTATTGAGATCCAGACACTTTTATTAATATTTTATCAAAGGATTATTGGATATAATGAATGCAAATGCATTTTTTA